TATAAATATATGTATATATCTTTAATTGGCTGTACAGTCGTGTTACGCCCACGCGTGATACGCCCGACAGAGATCGCCTGCCGCATTATGGCCCACGTTTCTCACCAAGGTAAGTGACCAACCGACCAATCGATGTTTCATTCACCATTTGCTAAATGCTATGTTAAGTATTTTGTGTATGTTAAGCATTTTGTAGTTGATATCTTTTTCTTTCATTGTGCTTCCTACAAATATAATCTTAGACTTGTGCTAATCCTATACAACCTTATTTAAGCAGCTCCAATGGTGGAGAACTTGAATTCCGTTCGCCACGTGCCAAACTCCTGTGGAACAAATGGCGCGATGTCTGGATGCTGTCATGGGAGCGCCAACGCTTACTTCATGAGCATCTCATGTATCTGAAGGACGTGGAGCGTGCTCGCAACTTCAGCTGGGATGATTGGCGCAAGCGAGTGAGTACCTTTTTTGAATCTAACCAATTATCAGTAAATAATACTTGAAAATATTATATCTTCCGTAGTTCCTCAAGTACATGAACCACAAGAAATCACGTTTGACTGATTTGTTCCGTAAAATGGATAAGGACAATAATGGCATGATACCCCGCGATGTGTTTATTGATGGCATACTCAATACGAGTAAGTTCTGAAATCAAATTAGTTAAAATAGTTCTTCTAATTGAGTTTCCTTAACAGAATTCGATACATCGGGACTGGAAATGAAGGCTGTTGCAGATCTATTCGATCGCAATGGCGAGGGTCTTATCGATTGGCAGGAGTTCATTGCCGCCCTGCGACCTGATTGGCAGGAACGTAAACCCGCCACAGATTCCGATAAGATTCACGATGAGGTCAAACGTTTGGTCATGCTTTGCACGTGCCGTCAAAAGTTCCGTGTGTTCCAAGTGGGCGAAGGCAAATATAGAGTAAGTCTAAATTAAAGTTGGATGTTCATACGATTTTACATTTGCTTACGGATGTATTTTTTCATTGCAGTTTGGTGATTCCCAGAAATTGCGCCTGGTTCGCATCCTCCGTAGCACTGTAATGGTGCGTGTGGGCGGCGGCTGGGTTGCTTTGGATGAATTCCTGCAGAAGAACGATCCTTGTCGCGGTAAGTCGCACTACTCAGAAGTCATATATAACCGTTCTAAGTATAAACAAATTTTGTACACGTACACACACGAAAATTTTCGAGAAATCATGTTAAATTTGAATCATTAATCGCATAATATTTCTAGAGTAACTTTTTGTAGTCCACCATACCACAAAAAAAGATAATCATAAATATTCCATTCCCATCTCAGCTCATGCATTTTGTCTATACCTTAGATTATATATGCATCGTTCTTTTAAAAGCCCATTTTGATCATATCTCATAATTCACATACATCAACTTAGGTACAGTTGTGCTTAACAACTAATTATAATATTTTTTATATACAAGCTAAACATTTTTTTTAAACATACCAATATATCATATTAATAATACCAAACGGATATGGTCATTTAACCAACAAATAAATATTAAACTTTTGTGCCTAAATATTTATAACTAGCATATGAACCCAAAAGAAAACAGAAACATATAAAAAACAACATAACCTAAACACACAATTTTTGAAAATATCATTAATTTGTTTGGTTGAAAAGTTGCTTTAAAAAATATTAAAAAAAAAAAAAATTAAAAATTAAAAATTAACAGCGCGCAATATTTTTGAAGAATTTTTGAAATTTAGCCAGCGCCTATTTTGACGCCTCTCATACACACAATAACCCAGCGAAATCAAAAATCCAAAAAACTCTATCCTACCCAACTACATTTAAGCTCACATAATAGGCCTCATCATGCTCATTATTTTGTAGCTTTTATAAATGTTAACTCAGCGTTTCCTCCTACCCCCATACCACACCTTGTATTTGTATTCTACTTATTTGGTATGTTTTCCAAAACTGGGTTTTGAGAACCACTATGCTTATTGCCTAGCTTAACCTTAACCAAAACTTTGATTGACAATATAAAAAGTTGCTTAGTACGTTTTAGTGCATGCTTCATTTTACTTTCGCTGTATTTTCTCTTTGTGTAACTTAGCTGCAGTTCTTCATACTATTAACTAACAGTCATGTCGACTGTACCTACCTAGCTGTAACTGTCACGCCACATTCGTTAATTTCTGTTTTCATCATTCAAATTTTTGAATTGAACTTTTTGTATTAATAATTTTGTATACCGTTTTTCGTTTTTACTAATCAAATTTTTATGTTCTCCCCCGTTTTTCTTTTTCAAATGTTTTTTATATTATTTTTATTTGTTAAATCGAAATCGATATCGATAACGATAAAAATATACATATAACTTCATACATGTGTGTCACAAAAATCCGCTTGCGCTGCCCGACCGCCCGCCTGACCACGCCAAACATGCACTCGCCTGCGATTAAAAAAATACCACAAAAATACCACGAACAATATCAAACAAACAAAAACCACAAAATACTGTGATTAAATACCATGCGGTAACAAAATTTCGTTGTTATTGTTGTTATATGTACAAAAATACAACAACAATCGAATGCGTGATGGGTGTATATGTGTGTATATATGTATATCCGTGCTTGTATATATATATATGTATATGCCATTTGGTATATTTCGCGGCATTTAACGGAGCAGCCAAGGGACGCACTAACATTGAGCTACGCGAGCAATTCATTTTGGCCGATGGCGTCTCACAGAGCATGGCCGCCTTTACGTCCAGACGTTCCACGCCCAATGCTGCCCAAACTGCCAACAGTTCGCAAAATGGCGCCGGTAGCCCCAACTTGCCGCCATATATGAGTGGACAGGGTCCCATCATAAAGGTAAATCAACAAACCTATCTCAGATGTGGGTTAACTAAAAGAAAGAAATCGAAAAAATAATGAAGATTCCTTTCACAATCCCTTCACTGATCCCGTATATTAGAGTTGTATGGTTCAGAACAAGTTCAATTGAGGAAATCTCATAAGAGGACTAGTGCACTTTTTCTGTGATCTGTGAACGATGATATTGAGTCTGCTATAAAATTTGCCTCTCTAGATTTCAGTAAAGATTCATTTTGTCCGACTTCTTATGAATGCCACGTTCCACAGAGTTGGTCAGCAATTTAAAAACAATCTGTGAACGATTCAATTCGCTTAATCAAACTTTGTGAACCGTATCTCGATCATTTTAACCTGTCCAAAGTTTTACTAACGGAACTATTTGGAATAATCGGCAGTCTAGTTCACACCTTAATAATGCTTAATTGAACTTGGTCAATAAATTGAACTATTTTTCCCCAACTCTAATGTATATCCCATGTTAGGCGTCGATTATTGATTATACGAAAGGTAAGTTCTGAGCTTTCGTTTCGGGTTTATTGTGTGTGTTGTTGACAAATAAAAAATACCATAAAAAAGCAAAAGTACAAACAAAAAATACATGCTCGCTCGCTGCTGCCGCTGCGTCGCGCCGACTCTTGATTTTTGTGCATGAGAATTTATATAATTCTACAAACATATATATTTATTGTATTGAACGTATTATTGTTGCTATACTACATACATATCGTATATATATTTTACGTATATCTTTATTTGATAATCCTCCAATTGTTTTTTATGTTACGCTGCGTCATTTCTTTTGAGTTAAATGCTAGCTACATTTGATTGAAATGCGTCAACAGTTGCGCTCCCCGTTAGGCTAGGGTTTTTTTTTGAGGTTATGTACAGGCATTATTTAGGCTATATTGAGGCCAGATTGCTTAAATGATCATATACCGTTTAGTCAGCTATAAGCATATAGAGCAAAATGCCAACCAAAAACAACTTATTTCTATATATGTAGCTGATGAGCACTTGGCCGAGTTAATGCCAATATTTGAGAAAATCCGTGCACAAGACCAAGTCCCATGCGCCTTTCCCATACATATGGGCGCCGGCGGCACAGTATTCGTGCGCTGCAATACCAGCCGCTCGGTACCACTGAGTCCACACGTGCTTCATTGTCATCCAACCACACACTGGGTAAGTCGAACTGAAGCTGAGGAAGCAGACGGAAGTAAACCTCACCAGGTGGCAACAGTGCCAGTAGCAGGGGGCACCACCAAACACCGCAAGGATTACGATATTAATATATAATCCATTACTTCCCTTTAGGTACGCGAGCGTTCCGTACGCTCCATACCCATGTCCAGGCCATCGCGCTCTTCGCTTTCGGCCAGCACGCCTGATTCGCTCAGCGACAACGAGGGAAGCCATGGTGGACCCTCGGGCCGTTACACGCCGCGCAAGGTCACCTACACGAGCACACGCACGGGCCTCACGCCAGGTGGCTCACGTGCCGGCTCCAAGCCCAACTCACGCCCGCTAAGCAGACAAGGCTCCAAGCCGCCTTCACGACATGGGTCAACACTTTCGCTGGACAGCACAGGTGGGTCCATCGAGTTGCCCATTATCTCACACCAATTATAATCCAATTCTTGTCTATTTTTTAGATGATCACACACCCTCGCGCATACCACAGCGTAAGGCGTCCGCTGCGAGCACTACCAGCGGCACCTGCACCGGCACCACACCGCGGCCGGCTCGTCTGTCTGTCGCCTCAGCATCCACGCCGGGCAGTCGGCTAAATGGCACCAGCACCATCACACGCAAAACCGCTTCCGGTTCGGCAAGTCCAGCGCCCACAAGGTAAGAATTTGAGCTACGAAGTAAGACTGATACCATTGTTTGGGGGTAAAGCAGGGGGTTTATTTGATCAAAATGTGAACTTTATTAATTTAATTATTTGTTTTTCAAAAATTATTTTCGGTTACTGCATTAACTTTTGACTCACACAACAACAATACCAACAAAATACCTAAATAATACCGAAACATATTCAACATAATACTCGAAAATCATTAATGTACATGCTACTCACACAACAAATTGGCTTCTATTAAAAAAAAAAACATTCAAAACACAAAATACAAAATATGATTGAAATGCTAACTTACAAAATGCATATTGGCTTGAATATCATATCGAAATTGAATGCTTGAAATGCAACTAACTGCAACATCAAAAAATACCAAAAATATATACCGACTTGTGCCTGAAACAATCCAAAAATACCAGCAATGGAGGCATGAGTAGATCATCCAGTATACCAGCACTAACAGGCTTCGGCTTCAAACCACCTACTAGGTAATGCCCAAGAAAACAGTGAAAAACTAAATAATACTAAACATAACATTATTTTAAATTATTTTAAACTCATAAATCTTAAGTTAGACTCAGTAAGATAAGCTAGTCTCTAAGCAGTAGCAAAAATATATTAATTCTCGGTTATGGTTGTACTTATGCTAACTATTCATATACTAAAGCCGCCCATCACGGATACCGGTTAAGATACCCCTCAACGATTCCAAAACATCATCGCCCACCAGCTCGTGTGCCAATCCAAGCAGCTTGGGGTAAAGATCCATATATGTATATGCCAACGTATTATATACAGAGGAAAAGAGCTCTGTCTAATTATATCCACAGTAGAATTATTTCAGCAAATTGTAGAAAGTAATTATTATAATTTCAATACTTAAAGTATATTTGTTGTTTCGAGTTTTGTTATCGTTATTGTTATTGTTAGTCTAATGCATGTCCACAGCAAGTGCCTCGTTTCTTTTCTAACTTATAAGCTCAACTAATGATTTAAGTTTGTTTTTGTTAATGACCTTGCGGAGGGAATTATATACTTGAGGTGTCTGTCTGAATACAAAAAGTACCACATGTATCACAATAAAAGTTTCACATTATAAATTATACGTATTTTTCCAGATTAGATATTCTGATTTAAACTTTAATAAATATACTTTTCTTTCAATACTTCAAATATTTTAATTTAATTAAATTCGTTTTATTGTTTGTAAATTAACCTGTAAAACAAAGTAAATTAAATGGCAAAGTTAAATTAAAAATTAAATAAAATGTAAAAGACTTAACTAAGTGAACCTATTTCCGCAAGCTCTGCAATCTTCTGTAGACCGAAACTATATATTTTTTATATTTATATATATGTTACTGTTCAATTGTTAAAGTTTCTATTATTATTTAAGTATTTTGAAAAGCATTTCTCATATGTTTAATTGATTCGCCATTCACAGACGCAACATCAGCGGCAGCTCCACGCCCTCGGGAATGCAGACGCCGCGGAAGAGTTCCGCGGAGCCGACGTTCAGCTCGACGATGCGGCGTACATCTCGCGGCACCACGCCCACAGAGAAACGCGAACCGTTCCGACTTTAAGGCGGAAGCAAAAGTTGCCAATTAAAATTTAAAAAAAAAAAAAAAAAAAAAGGAATTCATAAAATTACTAACCACGCACTGAAGTTCTTTCAACTAATCAACCCAATTGTGAATTTGCCTCCTGACTCTCTACTCATCAGACTACATTGATATACAAAATGTAGCAACAGGAACCAGTTTGAAAAGACGCTTCCAATCCATACAAAAAACTGCAAATTTGTATGAAACAGCGCCAAGAATATTGCAAAATTCGGTAAAGCGTAAAAGACACACAAAAAAAAAAAAAGAAAATGGGGGACTACAAAATTTAGTTTTTATAGCAACCGTTATAAAGCAAAAAAAAAAAAGCTATTCACACAAAAGTTGAGAAAACTAAACACGACAAGTCATACTAACTAAAATGAGAACCTTTTGCTACTACTAATATTTAATGCCTTCTTTTTACTAGTTATACTTAAATATGGATTTCCAAGTTTATAATTTGTATATACTTATATAAAATGCAAAATACACTCCAAGTGCTTTAAGGCAATTCAAAACTAAAACTAAAAAAAAAAAAACAAACAAAAACGATAAAAATTAATAAAATAAAAAATTTATAAAATTGAAAAACATTCGAATTGTAAGTCGATGCGCACTGTCATTAGTTCCTGCAGTCTCCGGCCACGCTCACAAAATCGCCAGTTTGTGGACGTGTTCTAGCTGTGGGCGTGGCAGTTGTGTGTCGACCAAAAAAAGAAAAAAACTTAAGTAAAACTTTGATTTTGTTCTGTTAAAACTAATTGTAAAAGTGAAGCTTGTAAGCCGCATAAAAGAAAAAGAAAAGAAAAAAATATTTAATTAAATACTAAAAGTCATTACTATAAGTTTAATTAATATTTAGTTAATAAGCCAAACAAACACACACATACAATTTATAATGCATATTAATTTTGTTTTGTATATGCGAGTGGAACACATAACTAATATAATAGAGTTAAACCGAAATGATAAAAACCTGCAGAACCTTTATATAAATATTGTATAATACTAATACTAAATTATTTTGTTATACAAAACGAGAGAAATGCATTGAACGTTTTTTGTAATTCTATTAAAATAAAACAATTCAAACGTGAAATAAACATTTACAAAAAAAAAAAAAAAAAAAAAAAAAAAAAAAAAAATTAATAACAAAATATGATAGTTGTTTTCATAAAAGCTTTTAACAATTTAATTACAGCTTTAAACAAATATTTCTATATACCATTTGAAGGCGATCATTTTCACGTATGCAATAATGCGTGCTCTAATTGAATTTTTGGGGAAAACTGTAAAATAGTCGAACTGAGAAGTTTTTGATAGTCCTATCGAAAATCTTCGATTTTGTGAACCCTTGATAGCCCTATAAAAAACAATCAGTGTAGAATACCTTATAATAAATAAACCACAAGGAACATATTTATTATGGAACTGAATTTATTTATTTAATTTATGAGAGCTTTGTATTTGTATTTTTCTTTTTGACACATTGAAATTTGGTATTCGTAGTATTCGTTACATGCGTTACATGAATTGCATGTTTTTCGTTTTTGCCTTCTTGCTTTACACATAAACATTTAATTAATTAGACATTTAAATATATGAATGCAAACGTATACATCTATATGGTTGCTAGTTAGTGCTATGATTTGTAATTTCTCGGTTCTGTCATCTAAAGCTGACTAGAATGGCGCTGCTAATGGGAGGACATGCCTACAACTATAGATATTGTGCCTGACGGCTGTCTTTTCATTTCAACATCGTCTTATTCTGTTGTCTTTTGTGCTAATTGCTGCCTCAGGAAAACTATGAAAGATGGGGAAGAGTTACGAGTTAACATTTATGCTAAAGTTTCAAGTGCGGATTGCAGTTTATGCGTTGTAGTAAATATCAAAGTGTGTATATAAGTGTTTCTGTGTGTATGTTCGTATCTATGTGGGTGTGTGTGTGTTTGTCTGTACGTCAACGCCAGCGCTGCCAGTTGGTGCTGCTAATAACTATCATCTATTACAACAACCCCCCTAATTATATCGCTAGCAATAATAGTTGCAGCAAGTCTTTTGTAAGCCATTACAAGTACAAATATAGATATACATACATATCTAAGATAAAACTAAATACATAAATATACATATAGATTCGTAGATCAATTGAAATTCGCTAAACCACGCTTGCCATACAGCTAAACTAAACATAAGTCAATCGATCAATCAATCAGGAKCTGAATGCCTGAGCAGATTGTCTGGCTCAGACAGTCAATCAATAAAGCAATCAATCAGGAGTTGAGCCAAGCGCCTGGCTCAATCTTTCACAGAAATCGAGTGTTACACAAAAAACCAAAATACTAAAAAAATCAAACATTCAAATTGGGAGCCGGTCTTGAAGTATGGGGCGAAATGTTTTGTATGTTGTTGTATATTAGCAGCAGGTTGACAGAAGGTAAAGCGGCAGCAGGGGCAACAGCTGTGGCATTGGTATTGTTCGCATCAGGGCTGCGTTCTTAGTTTCGCTTGGGATCGTAAGACGCAGCATCCAGGTGCTGCGCCACTGTCACCTGGCATGGCCGCTGCCGGCAGTTTGCGCCTTTGGCTGTTTGCCGCCTGCAGAGTTGGCACCGCTGCCGGCTCCGCCAGGAGCAGCAGGTCCACCACTTCCACCTCCTCCTCCTCCAGCTCCACCAGCTGCTGTGCCAGAACCCTGAGCTRCCTCGCCTCGATGATGATGATGGTGATGATGATGATTGTGATTGTGATGTCGCCGACCGCCTCGATAATGTCGACGATTGTGATGCTGATAGTTGTTGTTTGTCGGCTCCGGCAGCACGCGCTGTGTGTCCTGCACTACAGGAGCAAAGCTGCTAACCACGGGCTTGGCCTGCGCAGCTGCGCCGCTTGCCGGGTCTGATGTGCCGGCGAGCTTCTTTGCTGCCTCGGCCTCTTCGCGACGGCGTCGCCGACGCACATCCTCCTCCGTTTCGATGGCTATGACGTTGCCAGCCTCAGCCTCGACATCGATGATGGCGCCRCGGCTCTTCTGCTGCAGATAGAGCTGCGACATGTGYTGCTGCATTTGCCGCAGTTCTTGGGTCACTTCGAAATCGGGAGCATTTTCCAGCTCGGAGGGCGGCATTGCGCACTTTAAACTGTCCGATTCGTCGCGTATGTGCTCGCGACAGACGGGGCACAGAGCCTGAAAGGGATCGGCAGTCTTTTGCTGCCAAGCGGGCAGTTTCTCGAACTCCTCCTGGTAGGTGCGACGCATCGCATTCAAATGCCGGGCCAAGCAATAGCTGTGTAGGTAGTGGAAGCACTCGGTGCGTGTGAACTCGTCGCCCTCGCTAAAGCCATACAGGCAGATGACGCACTGCCCACTGGGCAAGTTGCTACCGGTCAAGTGCTCGCGCACCACATCAATCAGATCGAAGACAACGGGCTGACCCAGGGACTCCTTGATCTTGGCCTCACACGCACTGCGTATGGCCTCTAGCCGGTCATCGTCCAAGCCACGGGGACGCAACAGCTTAAATTCTGGACTCACATCCGGATAGCCAGCTGGGGGCCGCACCTGGAGCGTCACACAAATATATTGCCGCTCATCCTCCTCGCCCGTGAGCGGCAGCACCGTTGTCTCGATGACGTCCACAGCGCCACTAAAGAATTACCGGTAGTATTAGTATATACAGCATAAGAGGAGCTTGAACAGTGCGGAGACCTACCTGGCAGCTCGCACTATGCGCACATCGTCCATGAGAATCGCCTCTAGCGACTCCAATTCCTCGTCTAGCAAACTGTAAATGAGTCACAGGACAACAATACCATTGATTTCGCAAATGCATGACCATTAATTGCTGTGTTACAATGTCTGCTTACCTGTCCATATTCGTTGTTATTTGCCTAGGTCTTTAAATGCTATGTTTCTTAAATATATAATAATAAAAAAATCGATTGAGACAGAAATTTTGCGCCCGACAACAACAACTAGAATAAGGCAATCGCAGCGAAACGTAAACACGAATGCCAGTCACAACAAGCGTTGACATAAGCAGTGCCGCTGTCAGGTGCGCCCTCTAGTGTGGAGTAGCTAACAGTATTGGGGCTATTAACAGTATGTTTGAATGTGCTGTCCTTACAGAACGATTGCTGTCAGGGCTACATAAATGTTTAATGTCGCGAGCAATTTGAATCAGCGTGTTCTTAATGAAATTTAAAAAGAATATAAGTTATTATTTAACTAATGTGAGAATTTGAAACAGATTAAAGTAATAAATATATATTTATGAATAGTAAATATAAATACATCATGCTTAAAAATGCTTAATGAAAT